TTTTTGGTATTAATACCTTGTCCAGCGATTAATTAAACCATCAAGTCTTCCCCGAATATCCTTTCAGAGATATTCAATTAGTACCCAGCGATGTTATCTCTACCTTGCAATATACAACCTTCCTGACTATTTCCGTTCCAAGACAGACTTATGGATTGGGATTGCAGGAGAACCTTTATTCATCAAAAACACTTTTCCCAATTGAAACTGAAATAGATCTGGGGCTTCAGTCTCGGCTTGAAACATGTTGGATGTATATTTGTACAATCAATATTGCTATAACCAGGTAAATACTTTTCGATAGCAACTGTCGTATTCGGTAAGAAGTATAGTTCCAGCTAGAATAGTTTCCAAGCTTTCTAAAGCAATTACAGTAAATTGATAATCTCCTGATATTCTGAAGAAACCAGGCAATGTCTCCAACAAAATGCCAAATTTGTACTGGGAATTGAATAAATTGTTTTTGTATAGAAAAAAGGGATTTGCAATTATATATATTCAATTTTTTGATATTACTAATCATTATAATACTACTACAGCTTGTGCTGATATCGGAATGCGTACAACCATACTTTTCTACCGATAATATAGAAGGCATTAGGATTGGGAAGGTAGGGAATACACATAAGATGGATAAATATAAGGTTCCAGATAAGACTAAGGTAAAGATAGAATGATATATTCTGTGTATATTGGGATAACAGGGACGCAGCTAAAGCCAAGACAGAGCAATGAGAGATATAAGAAAAATGTGGTGAATGTAGTGAATAATGAAGTGAGGCGGATTAAGTTATAGTACTGTGAGATGAGATGAGCATACACTGGTTACCTCGTTCCATAAGCTTCTTATACATTGAAATGTATGCGCTATACACTGGGAAAGGTATGTCAGGTTTCTTCAATTTTATACACAGAATGGAAATTGTCAGTTATCACGATTCCATACACCCGATAGATGAGTATAGTAATATATCGAACCAAAGAAGGACTTTTAGAGAATGGTAAACCAGATTGTTTCTCATTTTCGTTCTAGTGCTTACACAGACCAATATAAATTTCCCCACTAGATTTTGGGGATAAATAAGTACTAGATAGTTTTCGTAAAATCTTTGAAAAATTACACCAGAACTGACAAAAGTTGCCTAATATAATTTAAAGTGCATTTAAGGACTCTGAAGTTGCCACCAGCCCACTTTCATATTACAATTCTTTTATTTTGGATAATTCAAAATGTATACTATAGATATATTTATCCATAACTTAAACAAAGTCGATAAAGATCTACCTCTCGAAGCACTAATAGAAAGAAAAGATGTATATTCCTCTCTCTCTTGTATTGTAAGAAATTGATTGTTCAAAGTTTACTGATCTCCTCCTCCAAGTTTACAATTCTTTCTCTCCAAAGTTTAAACAGACAATTCGAGGAATATTTTATACAAAAAGCGATTCTCAGAGAAAAAAAGGATGAAGTATAACCCTTGCAACAATCCTCGAGACTCACAATATTGCTTTGCCTGAAGATATACAACATCTGTTTTACACATGGAAAAAGAATCCATTGCAATTTTGGAATACCTCCAGATGACAATATGAAATGTATTGGGATTCCAGTGAACCAATTGAGGTTATTGTTACAATGACGTATCTGACTACCAAACATCTCGAGTTTTGGTGGCTATAGGATACTATTCTTTGGCGATTCTACACTAGCTTCTTTTACAATCTAGTATTGTTGCTTGGAGACAAACAAGTAAATCTGACAGATAGTTTATATGAACAATTTCTTGAAGCAATCTTGTAATCGTTAAAGGTTACTGATAAAATCGATATTATCCAGGCCAAACTGCAGCTATGGATAACGGCTAATGCTAGGTATTATAAAATATATCAATATCTGGGTGATGGTGCTTTATTTTTACTTCCTCACATATCAGATAATGTATAAACTTATTTTCTTTCTTAATTATAACAAATTTGCTGATTATTCAGATGAGAAAATAACCAATCCCTAAAAGGTGCAGATTTTGTTACTGCAATGGAGTATCTGAAAAGCTAAGGCATTACAGAAACTTTAAACAAATTTGGGGCTAATGATCTGAGCAGAGAAATCCAAGATTTCGCACTTGGTCCATTTCGATGGAATATTACAATACCTAGAATAGAAAGGTATGATTCCATTACTCAGGGAGCATTATCCGGTGTGAATGATAACGTGGATTCGAGAGGCCCTGATAACTCTTCCGTTGATATCTTTTCCACAAATTCAACATCCTTGAATCGCGCTAGTCAATTGGACCTTCTCTTTTAAGCTGTTTTTAATCAAATATCAGATATGTATTCTTGTGATTGCCTTGACTCAAGTTATCTTATACTAAATGCTTCGACGGAACAGATTGGCATACATTTATTATCGATACTGCTCTGGCTACTTTCAAAAGTAACCCCAATTCTATACATACACTGTTGAATTTAGCAGAGCTTATAAGGCAGTTACCATCAATTGGAAGTATATCAAATCAAATCGCTAATGAAGCAGTGTTCAATGCTTGTGGATAAGATATTACCGCCAGTGAATAGCCAGAAATTGAAAGCAGAGGGGAGAAGAGAGGTTTAGAGTCACAGGCCGAAGTGTACAACCCATCTAGCAAACAAAGGTGCATTGATTCATCCATTTCCTAATTATTAAGTAGTATTACATATAACCAATATAGAGAAGCAATTGGAAACCTTAATCTAAGGGATACGAGCGTTAGTGCAATATTTTAAACAGGAATTTCTAATAAAACTAAGTTTATTGTGAAAGGGGTAAAGATAGGCAAGTTAGAAAGTGTTTTTGTAATCAATTTGTTTGGATAGACAAATGAAAGTTATATAAGAGAGAAAAAGCTGGAATACATGGAATTTATTGATACTATTTGTTTATATAATAGTTATAATGAAGGTATGAATTTTAGAATAGAGGTATAGCTAGATTTATCTAGATGGAGTGCCCTTTTGCAAACTAAGGCGGGACCTGTTGAAGACTTGAGGAATATACTTGGTAACTATCTATTCGAGGTTTTAGAAGCCAGCAATTAGAGGAAGGAGAAAAAGAGGCAGGGAATATCACGTAATACTAGTGCTTTCAATATATCTTATCATAACGATGATAATAACAGCGACTGCAAGATAGAAGTGATATTGGGTTATTGAATCGGTATAGATATCTGGGATAACCTATTTCCTGTTCTTGATTGAACTTTATTTTAGCTAGGTTTTGCCACCAATTTAAATTTTGTCTTCTTTACAACTACAGACCTCCCCACAAAAAGATCCAAATTCTTTTTGACTGTTTTATTTCCATAATTAAAAATTATTATTCTATCTTCTATAACACCTATACAATTATGGTTAGATTTATCTTCCTTCCATAAAATTTATCTATCATAATCAACTGCCTCAAAAGTATAGTAGAAGATATCTTCATAGTTGTTATTGATAATTTGTTCGGTTTGTAATCTTTGCATTAGAATTTGTGAGAATATGGATGGATACAGGTTAGAATAGTCTCACCTCAAGCATTGTAATAAACTAAGTAGTAAAAATGTAACAATATATATACACTACTCTATACACTCCTTCTAAAATTTGGGTAGATAAGGAAGGTTAAGATCGAATTTGGTACAAAGTTTGAAGGTTTGTAATAGGGTTGTTCGATTTGACTACTACACAGTTAGCAATATTAGCAGACATATATGAACGAATATATACCACTTTACAGATTCTTTTGACTAAGATAAAGTTGATACGAAAGGTTGAAAGCTTGAAGGAGGAATGAATATTCGATATAATATTGTTGAGATATAAACAAAAATAAATATTTTGTTAGGTTTGATAGGGTTTGACATTATACTCAAGCGATTTGCTTAGCAAAGCGATAATAATCGAAAAGTCCGCCAGTGCAATTAGATTGTAATATTTTAGAACATTATTATTACTTTGATTTGGACTCAATCCAATCTCATGTTGGGCACGCATTTTACAAATTCTATTTTTACAATGGAATTCTGATTCATTTGTTACAGTCTGCAGACAGAAAACAATTGGAGCCTGAAAACCCCATATCTATCCTATACATACCACATTACTTTTTCAGTCACTTCTGTTATCAAGCCACATAAAGCATGGTATCAAAACGCTGCGATCAACAACCATCATGCTTATTGTCTTCAGCTCTTTTAGGAGGTGCTCATCTGTGCTACCACATCTTATTAGATGATAACGTGGAATTTGTGAACGATAGAATGGAGGCGACATCAATTTTACTAGATGTCCCTATTTGGCCTTGCCGGGGCCGGGGGTAAATTATGACTTGCTTGTATCTTGATTGGAAGGAGAATAATGAGAGTGTGTTGCAAGGGCGTGAGCCAGTGCAATAATGGGATATAGTTCATTAATGCAGATATATTGCTAATGGTTACGTTACCCCATCCACAAGCAAATTATGCATCATATTCAGTCAGCAATTATTATTCCCTTTCGCAGGATTTTCCTCATCATATACAGTTAGAGTTATTATAGCTTGATTTGAGAACTACCTCCAATAATGTATAGTTTTCATTATATAAACTGGTTGATTCTTATCAATTTTCTCTATATGCCTTGTCAATTCTCTTTACAATCTTAGCATCAAAGTCTCTTGATCATACTTTCCATCTACTATAATCAAAATACTCCTCAAACCACCCCCTTGCAGGCCTTCCCAAGTCACTTCCTTTCAGCCTTCTCGAAAACACTCCCTCTCAGTTATTTTCGAAACCACTTTCTTAGGCCTTCTCAGCCTATTGCAACCCCTTTCAATAGGTAGAATTATCACAATATCTTCTAGCTTTGATTCTTGCTTACCTTTTGAACCAGCCGATATTACTCTTCATATATATATCTCTCTCCTTCTCTATTTTATACAAGACAAAGTATACCCCCAAAAGCTTGATGATAATATGTTTACTGATAAAATCCAGATGTCTTTCGAACCTCGTGGACTTATCACAACTCATGCTTTGTACAGCGCTTACCTTCAAGCCTCAAAGCCAGAATTGCGAGAGACGGCCACTGTTCCACTTTGGGAGGATATTCTCAACAGTGAATTTAAGCAATATGATAATATTGTTGTGAATTCCCAACAACCATTGGATGATTCAACCAGATCAAAGATTGGAGTCTACGAGAGCCGTCTTTGAAACAAGAGCCAACACATCCAAAGGGGAACAGTAATCATACACCCAATGGCTATGTGATCATTGCCTGTATAAAACATTACAATGTTATAAACAATGAGAAAAAATCCAATGATCTAAATAACTGGTTAGCTTCTGATAGCATACAGGGTGCGCGATTGAGTGAGGACTAACAATTTGGGAAAGTCGAATAGCATGATGAAACTTGCAATCCATAAGCTTGATCTTTATCTCAGTATCAAGCCGACAACTCCTATCCTTCAACTGAGCATCAAGCCGATGACTCTGGATCTTCAATTGAGCATCAAGCCGATGACTCCTATCCTTCTGATCCATAACCGCGATCTTCATCTCAGCATCAAGCCGACAACTCCTATCCTTCTTATCTTGAGTTTTATCTATCCTGTTATACTTGAAAGAAATAACATTATTCTTTAAATTATACTATATCTTTATAACTTCGATTTATTGACTTATGGATACCTTAATTGAAAACTCTATGTTTTCTATAATATCTCTGTATATATATATAATATCAGTGATATACTAATTGATAAGAACAGATGTCAAGAAAATAACTTATTTTTGTTATTATCGTTGAGCCATAATCTAATCCTCATTTATATTAGCATTCTATTGAAGATATTCTCTTTGAGATAACCGATTTTTCTGTAACCTCACCCAAGTCAGCGATGTGCTATACTGAGTAAGATCTCATACTGAAAAGAAAATGCTTCCTGCCCAGCATCCAGCAAAAACGCCCTGGAACTCAATCCGCCGCTCTAGCTTACGGTCAGTGCGAAGAGAAGTCGTTGATCCCATGGTACCTTCAAACCCGACAACCACTAGGCCACACAGATCAGGAGATTAGCCACAACCAAGCCCATTACAGACTTGATTTCCACACCAGATGAATTTTTGCATACAATAAGATAACTGAAATCTCACAATTCCCTGGTAAAGAAGAAACTCCCCCTACCAGAGTAGATAGATTTAAATCAAAATAATCAAAGATAAAGTAGGTTAGAGGTTGCATAACTAATGATATAGTATAATTAAATGTCAGATAGGAATCTTGCTTATATCCTTTGCCATAAACAGAAAAGTTCGAAATCGATAGATAATTATAATTCTACTTCTTTTAAAACCAAATGTGTTTGGAATAGATTGGCAGACAGAAAAATCGAAACAGTGTATAAAGAATAAATCTTACTGGTAATAAGATATCGATAATGTTAATACTATCTAAATTCTGTAAATAATTAGTTAGAAGGGATTATAAGGTTTAGATAGATCTGTTTGTATAAATACTGATTAAATAAGATTTACTTGTAATATTTTAGATCTGATTGGATGTAATATTATAATAATATTGGGAAAAAAGGTAAAAAGGAACAGTAATTAGAAGTGCTATATCAAAAGTTCTGATTTAACTAAAAGTTATTTATGGAGAAAAGATAAAAAGATGGAAAGATAATCGACCCTTAAGCAAATTACTATAGGGGTCTATGTGAAAGAGTAAAGATTTCGAAAGAAGAGGGGAAAGATAAATATAGTATTATTATAAGGGTAATATTATGAAATTCTGACTTAAGCAAGAAAATCTATTTAATCATATACTAAAACCTTACTAAAGTTTGGATCCAAATAACTTACTGTATCTTCGAAGTATAATTGATATATTATTAATATATTATATTGTATTTAGATATATTTGTTTGATAAATGTATGGTACACAAAATTCATTTATTATACCTTATGTATATATCTTTGGCCTCACAAATCCTATAGAATTGAAAGCAGGGTTTTTCATAGGTGATAAAGGTAGGTAATTGTAAGGAATAATAGTGTCACTGGGGTAAAGAAGGGTTGTAAGACATTTCTTGGTTGGCCTCACAGACCCTAATAAATATCAAAGTAGAGTCTTTTATAGATAAGCACTGAAGGTAGGTAATTAATTGTAAAACCTTTTCTGGCGATACGAGTAATTAATTATAAGGGTAAATGAGGAGAAGGAAGTTGTAGGTAATTAATTGTAAGACCTTTTCTGGCGATATAAGTAATTGTAAAGGTAGATGAGAAGAAGTTGTTGGATTGTAACTTTGGCCCTATAAGAACCCTAGTAGAATTGAAAGCAGGGTCATTTATAGGTGAGAAGAGTCGGTGGGGTAAGTATTGTAAGACCTCTTTGGTTCTATAGCTGCTATTGTTATTGTTGTTATATATACAGTTATTTTAGGGTTATATATTCTAATTTAATAAATATAATTGAAAAGGATAATTTAATCATTTTTAAAGCTTTATAAAAGATTTTATAAAACAATTAAGCAAATTTTCGAATTTTATAATAGAAATATATAAAAAAAACTAATTATTTTCAAATATATTCTATTAATAATGATTTTATTAATTAATATAGAGAAAAGTTTAATTTTTATAATTCCAATTGTATTACTTTATATTAAGATAATAATTGTTATTATTTTATATATCGAATTGAAATAGTAAGTAGTTATATAATACTTTAAAATAGAATTAGATTATAGATTATAATCTAAAATATAAGATTTTTTTTTCTTGGATTATCTTAATATTCACAAAAACCATTACAATTAATGATTTCTAATAATAAATATCCATATTACAAATTAATAGAAGATTAAATCAAATAATCTTTGATAAATGTTATTTTATTTTTATAGAGAAAAGAACAAAACACAATATCTAGATAAACTCAACTAATTCAACTAATTATCTAATAAATAAATTAAAAACTACCTAGTAGCTCTGGACCTCAACTAAATCCCTCTGTTCATCGAATTACAATCCCAATATCTGGGGTTTTTTAAAACATATACTCGAGTACGAGTATAATATAGGTTATGTATCTCATGTAAAGTAGGTAGAAGCGAGGAGAAGCGAGGGAAATGAAATATTTTCTGCTCTGCTACAGAAATATGAGGGATGGTATGACTGTGACTGTGATTGTATGTTGATATGGTTTATTTGAGGTAAGAGGAAGCTAGATGTGTTTGTGGGTGAGCAGGCTGGGAGTGGGAGTGAGAGTGGGAATGGGGACGGGAGACTTGAGGGAGGTAGAATATAGGCCGAATAGGGTCGCTGGAATCAATAAATATCAACTTGCAAAAAATAGCATCTTTTCAATGAACCATTGAAATTTCGAGTTTGTATGTATAGTGTTTTGTCAAAAAACAAGAGCCCGTTACTCTTTGAGCTACAAATGATATCTTGAAATTGAATTGAATTGAAAGGTTTTATACAAAAAGAGAGATATATCGCTCGCTCGCTCGCTTTTGCTTTTTCAATACACTTTTCCAACACATGAACAGACAGACATCTATATACACAAAAATAGAGCCCCGTAGCATTTCGTACCATGCACTCAGTAAAGGCATTTAAACCGGAGTCTGATAAGAAAAGTAGCTAGTAATCGCCTCAATCTGCGCATCACTGGCAATAGGTTGCGTACCAAACCCATCACCAAGTTCCAGCGTCAACTTATCAGTTGCAGAGTTAACCTCCCACTGAGGAAGCGATCCATTTTCTCGGTAAGAAACACCATTGTTGGGATTACCCGTCTTGGCAAAATTGGCCCAGTATCCATTCATCTTGAGGGCGATTTCATAATCGACGGCTTCCCATGGTTTATCGGTTCCGTAGAGATTGTTGAGCACGTAGTTGATTTGTGATTCGTGATAGGCTCCTTGGGTCTGGCCGGGTGGCGCATGGTCCCATAGGTAGGACCAGATTGGAGATTTGGATTTGACGGACCAGACGGAGACACGGGAGGTGTCGCGCCAGTGGGCGTTGAAGGCCATGGATGCATGGGTGGAGTTGTCGCCGGCGGGGTAAAGTTCCAAGAAGGTGGATGTGAGGTTGGAAGCATCATACTGGGATGCCATTTCAGCCTCGTATTCAGCGACGGTAAGGTTGGTGCTTGTGGCTGCTCCAGATTCATCTCTAGTATTTCCGATAATATAGGGGACGTCGTTGGCGGGACCGCTCAAGAGGATATTGGCGTATTGGCGTAAGTATCGGGGCCTAGTAATCGAGGACATTACCGAAGGCATCCGAGAAAGTACATCCAAAGAGAGATTCTTCAACATCGGCAAGAGGGAGAGCACGCATCTCGGCGATGGTGCTAACATTCTTGGAAGCCATGTACTCCACGCCGGATTGAAGAGCTGTAGATTGGGTGCGGTAGTTTTCGGCAAGAGTAAGAGCTTCGGGATTGTATGAATCACGGGTTCCTGACTCCGCAATGGCACCAACAATGAGTCCCTTGGTCAACGGGCTGTTGACGAAGTGGTAGACGGCAGCTGAACCAGCAGATTGACCCATGACGGTGATGTGGTCAGGATTACCACTAAACGCGGCAATGTTAGCGTGTACCCATTTCAAAGCGTGGAACTGATCAAGTTGACCCCAGTTTCCAGAGCTGTTAGACCCGGTAGTTTCGTACATCTCCTGTGAAAGTTCTGCAGTTGAGAGCCAACTAAGCGCACTAATACGGTAATTGTAGTTGACGAAGACAACTCCTTGGTCTGCCATACCCGCCCCATCAAATAAAGGCTGATCTGCAGCACTTCCTGCTGGGAAAGACCAGAGAACAACAGGAAGCTTAGCATTGGTTGATTTACCGTTGCTCCAGATGTTGAGGTTCAAACAGTCTTCGCTAACAGTACCACCGGTTGTAGATGGTTGACCTGGTCCAAAAATAGGTCCCATCTTGTTTGCTTGGAAGGTAGTGTTCCAAGGAGTTGCGTTCTTAGGTGTCCAACGATTTACACCTGATGTATCGGCACCATATGGAATACCTTTCCAGACGGTAATGTCTTTCCAATTTGAAAGGTTACCATTGGGGGTAGAGTTAAAGGCTGGGATACCTTGAACAAGTCCATAGTTGGTTTGAATTACTTGGTTGTAAAGTTGTGCTGAGGCGTCATGAACGAGAGCGACAGCCCCGAGGACTTGAGAGGTAAATTGCTTCATTGTGAAAAAATGTGAATGGCAGATGAGTGAGTGAGTGAGGATGAAACATTTGAATGAAACCAAACATGTATCTTTATATATTCACTCGAAAGAAGATCCAAACAGTTCCACCTCCCTGTCATGGTATACGGCACACTTCTTGAATTGCTCGGTCCCGAAGACATGGTTTGAGGTTGACAGCTGCCACATAGGGAAGTGCCTAAGCCATCATGCGTGCGAAGCATTAATAAGAAAGTGGCTATGGATATTGATGTCGTTGAAGATGTATCTTCGGCATTTTTCTACCGCCACTTCAATGCTCCATACATCTAAAGTCCGGGATGACGTTAGGTTGGAGACTTGAGCATGGGGCAGCTAGTTCGTCCAGTCATGGATAGAAGGTACCAGGGCATACAGGTTCCAGTCCAGAACACACGCAAAACTTTCCAGGATATGCTCCACATAAATAAATAGTTCACTCGCCAAAGTTATTGATCAACCCAAGCATCTGATCTCATCATTAATATTTCTAGTGAGTTGTTTGATTCTTTCTGATCTGACTCTTGGGAGGTCTGTATTATCTCTGAAGGCACTTGTTAATTGATGTGGTGTAAAGTATAAACTGCAATGAGTGTATTTTCGTGATACTCTGATGTTTCCATAGACCTTGGTGATGGTCCCAGTACTTAGTTCGCGAGTGGAGGCATACTTCCGGTACTGATCCGAAATTGTAAAGATTGATCATTGTGAAAGCTGCAGATTGAGTGTACGCGTAACAAAAACGCGCAACAGAGATATACATCGTAACTTTCGGACTTTATCAGTGCTTGGCATACCAGAAGCCATACCAACAGGCTCCTGACTCCTGACTATTGAGTCCTGGCGTTGATCATGATTCATGATTGAAGATTGATGATCGATGGGAATGGCCTTTCTTGAACATACCCCCCCGAAGATAACTTGGCAAGAAAGTTGTGAATCGGATGTATGCCATTGGCAGATATATACCTGCTAAATGGGATTCCGTTCAAGGAGGATATTGAACAACGAAATGTTATCCTCGAGTACCTGTGGATGAAATCAGATTTTATCTCGGTCCCGAAAATCATCGGATAAATAGCTCGGCCGGAACAGCACGTTAAACAGTCCGTGCATAAGATATATATAAAGTATTAAGTGGGCGGCCGTAATGCGCCAAATTTCTATTCCTAGAACGTTCGTGGAACTCTGGAACTCTGGAACTCTGGATTGATTGATTTTTTCACTTGTAAGGCTTTACGAATTCCATGCTATACAAGATGCAATTCAAGTCATCATGGCGTTACCGGTGGCTGTATGCCAAGTCTCTGACATCCACTTTGTCAAAGAGCCGACTATGCGAATGCGTCGATACTATCATAGATTCATAGCTAGAACAGAGCAATCTTTCATCTGGTGAACGAACAGAGAGATCCCAATTTCAAGCTGAGATATGGAACATACAGATCTAAAACAACTTGCATCAACTGATGGATGGTCTACTGTACATCTCGCCAATTTTGTATATAGGTAGGCACATCAGCCACCTCGACTAATAATGTGGTATTGGATACTGAGCTTGGGCTTGGGGATGAGTAAATTCATGTATTATTCAGTCCGATACAACGAATACAAAGAATGTAGTGAGTATTTTGAGGGGTCGCCGGATGGGAATGGGTGGTTCATGGCACGATCTGCCATGTGCTCTAGCCAAAGTGTCATATCCATCTTTCTCACAGATGCAGTTGTCAACAACAAGCCCCTCATCCCTTTCAATTTAGCCGAAGGGATCGGAAACTACTCACAGAGTTTCCAAATATCTCCCTACCATTATTGAAACCTAACAAGATTTCCATCTTGCAATCGCTGTGATTGTTGCTATTGATAAAAGATACATCAACAACTCGAGTATTATTTTACCGTCTTACCTCAACTAACCAGGGATTCTTCTGTAGAGTAAATCAGTTGACTATACATTTCCGTTCCATATTTCCACAATTTAGCGAATTTAAGCGATCGAAACTAGTCGAAGTAAGACGGTAGGTAGTGTAGTACAATATTCCCATCCTAACTTCTTCTTTCCTTTTTTCCATCAATAAACAGTTTCCATAGCCATAACCTTGAACAGGTAGTCAGGTATTCACAAAGCATTATCCTCAAATCTTCAATCAATCCTATCCTATCCTATCCTTGCTTAGACTTGAGAAATAGCTTTGCCAACTAAAGAACATAGCCATGACCCAGACCTCCTCCCCCATCTTGCAATCCTACTTGTGATATAGAAGATACGATATAAAAACAATATCGCTGGATACTTGCTTGATATCTCTACGAGTAGAAGGATGCTGTATTCGAAAGGGACTTTCTGGTTAAAAATTTGTAATTGGTTGCGGGACAGGACATCAATCCCACAAAAACGTTGTTATGTTTTGGGTGATGGAAGTTTAGGAATGTAATCATATACTCGAGTAAGGCTTAAGGTAAGTTTCATAAGCTTTAGTTGATTGTTGGTATGTTAATATCTCAGTACTATCCGAGGATTATAAATCTCATTCCCAATCAAACTTTCAATAAGTTCAACTTTATCGAATGCTTATCAAAATGAATGTTTACATGCGATCAAATCGTCAATGTTTGCGAATTAATATTAGATGGCAGATGGTGGTAGTTGTGATTTTGGTGAGGGGCTTGTAATATTTAACAAGATTTGGGGAAATGAGGGTGAGGGTGGAGTTGATGGAAATGTGAAGTTTGTGTTGCTACTACATGATGTGTATAATTGTGTTTATGAGGGGAACGGGGAAAGTTTGCGAGATTCTCATGTAGTAAATTATGATGATGGTACGAATACTGGAACGAATACTGGCAAGAATCAATCTTACAGTCCACCTAGGTATATGTGATTCCATTGCTACTAAAGGGGAACCAATCTGTACAAGAGCTCCATTTCGAAAATTCAATTTCGTTGAAAGATTATCATGATAAGGTACTTCTACGATTTTTCTCTCTCTTAAGCATTTGAACCCTGGAACGCCCACGGAATGCTGGACATTGAAAATTGTGCTTCAATATCCTCTCGACCCGGCATATCCGCAATCAGTGATTCTAGCCACGGATCACCGTAGCCGAAATCCTGCAGTGCCTGATCATTCGTTTTATTTGAAGTAAGATCCAGAGACGGCAAAGGATCCGCCTGAATAATTTCGCCGAGTAATTTTGCATCGTCTTCTTTTCGCTTTTGGTAAAGGAGAACGAGTAATCGTGCGGTTTTATATGCTTCCCGCATAACACTCGTATTGTATGCGGCTGATACTTCCCCGAGAGTCTTCATCGCATCTCCGAGTTTGGATAACGAACATCGGTTGTCGATGGCGAGGAGTGTGCAGATGATTTGAAATGGCACGTTGGCCATGTGGTGCCATGGACAACTCGTCAGGACCATTTCTCGGGCACAGCGTAGTCCTTTTACCATTAATGTTAATGCTCGATCTAAAAGATCGGGAGAAACGGTCCAATTCAGGGCACGAAGTCGGCGATAGATGCAAAGCATGAGATTACATTGGGCCATTACTGATGACGGTTGAACATGAATGCTGTCCAGGACTTGCAGAAATGTGGATTCGAGATTCGATGCGTTTTGTTGGTTGCTTGGATCCAAAGCTTCGGACATGGGTAATAGGCTCAGAATCTCTTTTGTAGAGTCTTGCTGCTTCAGATATGGCAGAACGGATGGAACACCTCCTTGCAGAACCACCCTAGATCGACCGAGATCAAATGATATCCATGTGTTGAGATGCTGTGCTACGCCCATTAATCTCCATTGTAGTTCCGAGGTGCGATCTTCCGCTGGCTGTGTGGAACTATGGTCCGTGGTTGACGGGTGATGCAGACCTGCTGCCTCGATCATATGCATCAAAGTACAACTAGCCATCCACGCCACATGAGGCGATGCTGTCATTCGTAAATAAACAACACGAAGAAGTTGTCCTGTAATAATCTCGATACATGGGGTATCCCCAGCGTACTCCTCGAGAATTGCCCGCGCAGATTCAACAAGCTGCAGTTCCAACAAAGGTGCCTTCCGGTTGGAGAAGAGACTACCAAGCGCCGTAACTCCGAACAAAATCGCATCAAAGGGTTTCTTGACGTTCAGGACAAGTTGCCGCACCCGCCATCGTTGTATAAATCTCGCTCGGTCTATAAATCCGTAGACTATATCGACCTTTTCAAAATAAAATGAAGATAGTTCTTCGATGATGACTAATGGCAATACATCTTCCATTGATAACGTGCCAGGTTTCTCTGACACAGCAGAAGTGGGCCGTTCCCCAACATTCCAAGAAAAGAGGTGCAATCTTGGTGCATTCTGAGGATCAATTTTAAGCGCCAACTGTCTCGCGAAGGTTGCGCCGGAATTGGCTTCCAATGAAGGGGGAGGCATAGATTCTGCTTGCGCTGGAATTGGCAGCGGTGATAATTGCTCCTCAAATCTAGCTTTCTTCGGAGTCCCCGAACAGGATTTATATCGACAATCATATTCGAATCGGAGACAAGAATCACATGGCTGATTGCCATCGCATTTTCTTTTGCGGTCTCGGCATGGTTCACAAGCTATTCGCGCGCGTTTGCGTTTCAGGCGTCCTACAGGTTCGGTCATGGGGATGGTGTCGTTTATTGTTTAGGATTTGGTCCCTAAGAAGTTTGTCCAAGTCATATGACAATTGTATTTTTGAGATATCAATATTGGAGATTTGGTTTGAAGAAAGTCTTACGTAAGTTTTGACCAACGCATAGCATAGTTCCTCGGAGATGGGTAAAGTTCGGCAACTCCCAACCTTCAACTTCTATCACCAATTAGCATGTCAATTAGCATGTCACGATCTGAACAATTTTTCAGTTGAATCGAAATGATCAATTTATTCGAGGCGAGGGTGTCAATCTGTCTTTTCCGTTCGTCCCAGTAATACTTCATGTTTTAGACGAACCGGTAGCCCGAAGTTCCATGTAACTTCCCACACCACTAACCTTATCTTGCGTTGTAGTCAACAGCTGCCCCATGAGAATACACAAGGGCGAGACCATGAGGATATCAACCTAAATTTCACCCAGTTCCATCCAAACTTCGATACTCTGGATGTCATAAGAGACAGCTCGCCAGCCAAAACTGGTCTCGCCGCAAAAACCTGCGAATATATATTACATTTTTTCCTACCTGGATCAATGCACCAGCAATAGGTTGACCGGCCGAAGCTAACAACACTCAATATGATACCTAACCAAACTCCTGTCTTCTTCGTGTCTGTTGTCAACGTCATAGCTATTGCCAGAAAGAGATATTGCAAGGCAGCGCGATGAAACCATATATAAATGGCAAATATACATTCCAGCTAAGGTTCCGACAGCCGCCCAACAATATACCAAGATGCAGGTGAATGGAATGAGAATGTTGAAAGGTCTGGTGATACGGCCTTCAATGAGGTTGGGAAAATTGCGTCCGATGATACTAATCCCATTTATGACCATCAACTGAATCACAGAAGTCTGCATTGTAGCGCCCAAGTGGTCGCGAGCAAATGTTCTAAGATTAAAGAACGCGAGATGTAATCCAATCCCCAAAAACTGAAGGACATCGCCAGAGTAAAGAGAGTATCGGTATATGCTAGCTCCTTGAATGCCGCCCATTCTACAAAAGCCCCCCCTTTATATAAAGGTAATCTCGGCCTGAAGAAAAGAATCAAAGGAACATGAGATGAGCCGTCAACATAATAAACCCCATGATTCTTATTATAACGTCTACGGAAACCTTACCTTTTCCCCCAAAAAATATGCACAGCAACCGGATACATTAGGAAATGATTGGCCGTCCTCGCACCCGTCATTACCATAGCTAAGGTGCTATTCTT